GTAAGGCATTCTTGCTTACGAGAGGTACATTTGATCTGGCGATAAAATAGTAAATCAGTATGTTGTCATCGCTACTTGAAACGATGGAAGAATTTTTACCACATGTGTGATGCGATTTTAAATTAGAGATTGTTGCCAGTAACCTTCTTTCTTTCCCTCCCTGGAACAAAAGGGGATACTACATTCGAAAAAATTTCTATCGCGTAATTCAAAGTATACAAAACGCACGTGCCATTCATTACTTGGTACGAGGTTTTCGAACGGATCGAACGTAACACGTGGAACAAACAGCTCGGATTAATTAACTCCGAGAATAGAAAGCTTGGTACGAACGAAACTTATTTTCACAATCCTCTGTTTTTTCAACTCGAATCTCGTCGAAAGAGGGGAAAGAAAATATTATTCGACGAAAAACTCGACGTTCAAATGTTCTCTTTTAAATGGAAAAAAAAATAGTATCCTCTCACGTGAACGTTTCGAGATCGCTCTTTAAACCTAACCGGGGTCTGCTTTAAAAATCTCTTGATCAAGCTGCTGCTGTTTTATCGGGAAAGTAGAATATAAAATGTCCAGCCAAATAAATTCGTGAAACAGAGGAATGGAGTAAAAGATGGAGGGATGATAATTTTTATGTTTGGAAGATTGTTTTCAACAATCAAACAAAATTGTTTGGAGGTGAGTGAAGGATGAGATTTAATTCTTTGATGATCGAGCAAGGGTGAGCATTTCAGTCGAAGCATTATTTTCAAAAATATGATTCGCGCGTGTCTCTTTAACTTTCAAGAACCAGAATCCAATCCACCTAATTTTACATTGCACTTTGAATTTCATCTCGAATAATTGAACTAACTTATACTTTGATTCTGACTTTGCTCGACCACTAAAAACTTAAATCAACTGATAGGTAGATTTTGAAGATTCCTGGCAATATCCATACTGTACGTAAAACTTATGTATCGCATAAGACAGGTTAATTTTTAATAATTACTGAACTACAAATAAACTAGGCCTTACATGTTATATACAAATCAATCAAGTCTTACACATATGTAGTACACTTTTCGTTTCATACATTATAATAAATATTCCAGTAATGTGCCTTATAAGATTAAATTAAATTATAATAAATTATAAGATTAAAACAAAACTCGCTCTGAAATGAAGAAAAAAAATTTAGTGTA